CAATATTATATAGACGCTCGCTCTGATTCCTATTTATGCGCGCTATCCAACCGGCTGAGAAATCACTCGAATCGTGCATTCCGACCAACTCTGGGTTTGAATCTGATGACCTCGACCTTGCTGAATATGATTTCGATGGATCCCGGCTGATACTATCAGGAATCAAACAGACAGAGTTGTCAAACAGATTGAAGAAAGAGTCGGACGCCTACTATCTCGAAGCGAAACGAAGCCTTGTGAGCAGTATCAGTCAGATCCCATATTGGATGTACGCGGTGATTGCAATCTTGGGTTGGAATGAGTTCCTAGCGGTCTTGAAAAGCCCAGTTTATTTTGCAACAATCTTGATTTTGGCATTTGGCGTATGGGTGACGTTCAAATTGAATATGGTGCGCAAATTAAATATCATTCCCTTCCTTTAGAATGGTGATCAAATATGCAGTATTGACGATCATTTAAACTATTGTTCTTTTAAACTAACATCAGCAAGGGCCAATTGTAGCGATAGGCACTGGGCTATATCATGAAACATCAAAGGTTGCCCAAGAAAAACTTAAAGAATACCTCTCGGTTAGTGATTCTCGCCTCTTCTTATGGAATTTGTTTTCCTCAAAGCCGAGTGTTTCGGTAGTGGTTTTCGTCGAATAATTGATTAAGGAATGATCTGAATACAGGAAGTACCATCGGGGCAGAATAGAAGTGGGTTTACTAACTCGACAACAGATACGGACGAGGTGTATCATCTCAAGAAAGAAACAGTCGAGCAAAATTATCTTCATCTTCAAACGATGCAGTGGAAGAAATTCCACTGCAAGAATTCAAATAAATTTGGATGATTTCTTGTAATCCATACAATGTTCCAAAGAAGAAAAAAAACAATCATAATTTATTCATTTATCTCTTTCTGCATTCATGATACATAGAAAAATGAAACTTTCAATACGCTTTTCTCATGCCTCAAACTCTATGGGCATTTGAAAAATACATAATTCCTTTCCCATCTTCCAGGTGTATGCTCTCTCTTCCCTATAAATCATTGGAACGTCTTCTGTCCTTTTTCTTTTAGAGCATCTGCATCGGTTGGCTATTTCCGCTTGAGCTAAGGACTTTAGCCACCAATGTCAACCACACCGGGTTAAGCTAACATCGAGCTAACCTGGCTATCAGCTAGATTTTCAGCTAACCCTTGCTACATGTAGCAATGGTTAGCTTTCGAGCTAGCTAAAAGCTAACCCGTGCCAACACTTCAATTCCGCACCCTCGCGCGAAAATTACACACTTCAACTTCAAGCTACACCGGTCTCAAGCCACACCAATGTGGCTGAGAGGTGGTCACTATTGTAGTTTAACTATAGCTTTGAGTCAAAACTTGCTCGGTTTTAGCTCAACCAATGCAGATGCTCTTAAACATACTTTTCCTGCCTTTTGCAATGTTCTGATGGATCATGTGCACTGGCAATGATTTTATCTAGGTGTTTTCTGTATCTTAAAGAATTGGACAGGGCTAATAAACATCTTTCCCTGATCTTGGCATTGGGCATATATTTCTAGATGAAAGTATTTCATTGTGCACAACTCTCCTCCTCCCTGCCACTATCCCAGCAAATTGGTTGGTTTACAGAGGAGAAACTCCTCCAATTGTTAGTGCCAGTGGAAAGGCCACCTTGGCCTCTGGTAATTCAAAGGAAAGATCACCAATACATGGATATGGTCTGGCATAATGATGATCATAGTTTAATTTGCATTAAATTGGGAAGTATAAATTACTGGACAACTTCCCGTCAACATCTGAGGGTCTCCCAGAGCCGGTTCAGAGCCTCAAAATTCAAATTTCTCTGCAAGAATTAAGAGATTTTGGGTCTAGATCAACTTCTGCAAGGGTCCCAGATCCGACAGGAAGTCCTCCACTATATTGTTAACCAAAAATGAAATTGGATGGAAAATCAGGAGGCATAAATTGATATATTAATAACCAAAAATGAAATTGGATAGAAGTTTGAACATGTGGGCAAGATAATGCAATATCCTCAAAGCCTATTTGGATTCTTGGAAATGTACATTCTTCATTTTTGTTAATACCCTAGGGGCATTTTCATATATATCTTTTAAAGGGCATTTTATAGAACTCAAAACTTCATTTTTTCTTTTTGATATTGAATCATAAATTTCTGCAGATTGATGTAAGGCTTGTGAAATTTTATTTAGGTACCCATCATAAATATCCTTTTTCCATGAAACATTCTTCAATTCTATTGTGTTGGACCTGGACATTTTCTCATAGTGGGAAGCCATTTCCTGAGAGGTGCGTATTTGTGACCAGCATTTTATCAGCTGAAAAAGTTCTTCTGGGTTTCCATACTTTTCTGATAAACCAAGGTATTCATGCATAATGTCCAGAAATTCAGGAATTTTCAATCTGTCCCAGAAATTCAACAAAATTTCAATTTTTGCCTGAAGTATATCAAAATGTCTATCTTGGGAGACTTACAACTTTTTGATGATACCTGGATACATCTTATTTTCCATGAATGAGAAGAGATTTACAGCATCAACTAGATAGGTTTCATATTGCCTTGTATTGACAAAGTGTATGTTGCGGCGGCCTTCATAAATTAGTTGTTTGATAATTTCTTCCATTTCTTCTTCATAACTTTCATAGTCACTTGATTGCAGATGGCCAGATTGATTGTTTCTAGTACCATGGGAGTTGAGACGATTGGATTTATCCAAATTCTTTAATTGATGGAAGTATTTTTCCAATGGAAAAGAATGTGGATCTCCCACAAATATGTAATTTAGTCTGAATTCATATTCACCTTTTGAGTTAAACCTCCCCACATAAAATGTTAGATCCATAATGTCTTTTTCTTCCTGTCCCAGCACTATTTTACATCCAAAAGGAAGAAAATAAGAGTCAGTCAATCAGGGTGTCTCATTTTTGGAAAAGCTTTGTAAATACCTTGATAAAATTTGTTTAAATATGGCCAGTACCAGTGTTCAGTCAATTTGTTGCAGTGTTTCAACAAACAAAATTCAGCTTTACTGCTTATACTAATGAAAGCATGGAGAACAAATTGTTTCACTGTTTTCTCTTCATGAAATATTTCCCTAATCATTTCTTCATTGATCAATCCATTTTCCAATAAGAAATCAAGTGTTTTGAGAACATAATTCTTGGCTGCATCAGTTTTAAACCTTTCCTTGCGGTTGGATCCAGAAACTGGATGACATATTGCTTGAAAAAAACTGAGAGGTTCTGATTGATGACATAATTCGTGGTCCTGAAACAGGATATTGTGATTGGTAAATAATTCCTTCACCTCTTCAAATAACATCTTGGAATAGCCTGTTATAAGTAATGGACGTAATTCTTCTGGAATTCCAAACAATGGATTTTCAACCAATTCACTTTCCTGAATTGTCAAAAAAGGTAATTCATATGATCGTCCTAAAGTGTGTAGCTTCCATTGTTTTGAGGAATGAAATGTGCTTTCTTGAATTTTCAAATATTTTGACAGCATCAGGGCAACTGTTTTGAAATATTTTTCTGTTTTGTGTTTTGAAAGCCACACACAGTTGTTTCTGGATCTCCTCTTGCTCAGCGCAAGCCCAATGGAATGTTGATAAAGCAATTCAATCTCCTCTATTAATTCAAGTAATATTTTGTCACCAACCCAAGCAGGGATTGAATTTTGAAGATGAAAAGAAACTTGCTTTTATTTCTCTTCCATGCTGAAACTGTCCCAACTTCAAAAATCAAATATATCAGAATGAATATATCAATTAATTCCAAAGATGACATGGGGTGAGGAACAAACCAACATCTTGTAGCCCTGTTGCTTTCACTGGTATCCCTACCAGATTGTTTTGAAAAGAAACTCAGAAATGATGGGGAATTATTTCTGCGTTTGGGTGTAGGTTCCTTTTCTATATCAAGTGCTGTGGTCATGGAAGAAATCAATAAACAGGCCTGGAACTAAAATGATCACTGTATTTTGCTCACCACGCAATGGAACCACATTTTTTTTTGTTTGATCAATTTCAAATTGACCAACTGGTTTTATTATGGATTCACATAAAATATCTGGTATTGAGGCAAACCACATGCTGAGAAGAAGGAATTTGAATGCAATCATCAGTGCACCAATTAAATGTGTCTTGAGGAAAAATTGATGGTGGTTGTGGGCCAAAATAGCTGGACTGGGTCGGATGTGATGGTTGATAGTTGGTTCAAGAATCCTGAGGAAAAAATAACACATTTTTATATATAAATATGTAGTCTGTAATTGAGGCCTGGGGCCTTTGTACTAATGACTAACCAATTTGAAACAAGGAATCATCACCTGTAAATCCTCAAGGACAACAAAAAAGAAATTGAGACTCCTGTTTTGTTGGTTTGGATAAAACCTAATGGCTGTGTTTGAATGGCTCTGTCTAGGTTTTGTCTCAGATTCCACCAAACACACGAGTATGGTGTTTTCTATGTTGAATTTCGGCTTTCAAGAAGCTTCTGCTTGAAACGCAGATTGTAAAAAACAACCTTAATTTGGAGGGTTGATTTGCACCTAGGGGAAACTTTATTAAGCTCCTGTAGATTAGAGGTGGCTAGCCTGAATTTGAAAAGAAAAATTAATGTGCATCTGAAATGGGAACTGATACATTTTCTTTGACCAATCGGGTGTGTCTGTCCAAGCATTTGGCAGTGGTCTCATCCCTTCATTTGTAATGGTTACTGTTCCCCCTCTACAATTCTTGAAAAATAATGCATGATCATTTGTTCTTCAGAACCTAAAACAAGGATCCACCAAGATAAACCAGGAAAATGGCCAGAAATCTTCAAAATTTCCACATTGCAAATTCCACAATAAATATTTTAACTAAATCTGGCATTATGAGAAAACTTCACAAATGAGAATCTTGGCATAGTTGGGAAATTGGGCAATGTAATTTCAGACTTGCCTAATTGAAGTTCTCCATGAAATATCCAAGCCAAGTTTGAGAATTCATGATTCCATTTTTCCTGTCAGACACTGAGGCTGTAGCCCATGTGTCTACAACCTGTACTTAACCAACAAGCACATGTACTGTAGTGTATTGGTTAAGGACTGTGTTATGACTTTGCCTCACCAACACACTTGGGTTCAAATCCAAATTATGTAATCTTATATTTTTATTATTATTTTATTTTTATACTTTTCTGCTTTAAGTAATTCCACGGAATTACTTAAGTATTTACCTCTGTATTAATATTCATATTTAGAAAGATTATATACATATAGTCTGAAAGCCTAATCATCTCTCTATACACTGTAATTAGAGAGATGACATCATTCTTTCTCCTTTGAGCTTGAATGACATCATTTCCTCCACTTCTGGTTTAAATCTTAATTTAAATACATATTTTGATCATTTATGATTTATATACATAAATGATACTCTGCAGGTGTCAGCCTTAGAGCCAGCCAAGCTGGCCAAAAAACTGCCTAAGTCCTCCTTTTTCATTCAAGTCCCTACTGTAACTTTTTCATCTTAATCTTTTATTGCATTCTGACTTCAGAAATAAATTCCTCTGTTAAATTTAACCTTAGTCACCCCTACACACTTTTACACTACTCCTCTCCTTCACAGACTTTGTAATATTTCACCCTACCATTGTGAAATATCTACCAAGTTGGAATTCCAACTCTCTACCACATGTACATGTTGTGATTATGTAATCCAACTCTGAAAATTCTCTCAGTAGACACTGAGTTCGCATTTTAAGGATCTTCAAGCTTCAGACCCACCCAGAACCAACTCAGACCAGAAAACCAGCATACCTCAACTTGGATTCACC